AGACACAAATACCACCATAGAATTTATTTATACTTTATTAACAATGTGGCTTACAATTTTTTCAAGTAAAAAGGGTTCTTTTCATTTAGAATAAAAATTAAAATATAACTCTGATATAGATTTTCATTTATGTACATGAAAACATATATACAGAATATAATCTTACAGCAAATGAATAACATGCCCTTTTGTCCTGCAAATTTCCAAACTAAAAACACCAATTTTCCCCTTTTACACACAAAAACATACACAAGATATGGATTAAATTTCAATACAAACTATTCAAACTGGAATGCAAAACAGTAAAACAGATTTCAACATTCACAACTAGGGGTAGTTTATGTTTCTAGATATCATGCTAGCTCCCATCTGAACAAGATATGAAATCATCTTCTTTTTTTTTTTTTCTTTCTGTCATTTAAAAGATTTGTCTCACATTTCCCATCATAAGATGAATTTCAGCATATGATTGTCCTAGAATTTCCACTTGTTATTCCAGGCTTCTCTTTGGCCCGGCTCTGCCTTGGTTACATTTTGCTGGTGCCAAAACATAGCTATTTAAAACAAAACCATTAAAATGGAAAGCCAACAGGTGAGGGAATTGTTTGATTGTTTATTATTTATACAAGGGAAAAGTTTAACCTGAACCCAAGGCCACGCCATGTGTCAGTAATTGTTAATTTTTTAACTAAGTGGGCCAAATAGGATTTTATCATATCAGGTTTGGGATGAGAATCAAACAATTTTAACGTTCAACCAAGTTAAGAAAAGAAAAGAAAAGAGATTTTTCAGAAAAGAACGGTGAATACAGAAAGACAGCATTAAATTCCCATAGTTGCCAATATTACTTTCCCTTGCTATGTATGTAATTATTGTGTCAGTAGGCATGGGGAGTAAGTATCTCTTCAATAATTTCTCCTTTAGAAACTTTAGGTACCTTAATTTACTATTTCTCCACAGAATTTCACACTTGGTCACAGCTTTTTAAAGACAGAATGATCAAAGCTTGGGTTCATCATCTTAGCCAAAATGCAGGTCTTGTGTTCAAATCACAACAAAGATTTAAATATTATTGTTTTAGTTCTATATACAGAAATAAATATAAATGGGTGCACCACAAAATAAGTATGAAAACCAAAACCAAGGGCGGGACAGCTCTTAGAAAGGGGTGTTTGGTTTAAGAGGCAAATCCCAGAACTTGCCTAATACAACTCTCAAATTTCTAGGAGACAGATTAAGAAACTGAGACCAATCTTCAAAAGGCTGGTCAATACTAACCTTCTAGAGATTTCTGGAAAGGGTCAAAGGAGGCAGTGTTAACAGTTTGGATCATTTTCATTTATCAAGGGAACAAAGCAAAGTGACCACAGGCACGGATCTTTCAAAGAAGTTTGTAAAGCAACCGAATAGCTGTACAGCTCAAATACTGTGTGATCAACACTTTCATTAAGTGAATTTAATTGTAAAAGGGACAAATGAGTTTTCCATGCTAGGGAACGTTGGAGGGGGGAAGGAGACTGTGCTTTTGAAAAGCAAACAATTTCTTCTGCAGTGCCAGTTGTACCCTGTTCTTTGTGTTTTTCTGTGTATATTGTGTATATGGGATTTTTTACAATGCAGCATAAGTGAAGACATTAGGGGTAGAAACAGGCTCCTTACGTTCCAGGAAGGGATTAAGTGATACACACCTGACCTCAAAGTTGAGGTGGCACTTCTGTTTCTCAAGTTACACAGATTTCCAAGTGTCTGTTTGGCTGTGAGGAGGAAAAACACACTTTGTGGTCAGTTCTGGAAGGTCATGAGTGGAATGATGCACACAGAGGAGAGGAGTGTGGTCCTAAAGAATTATCAAGGAGAGAGAGAGAAATGGTGGCATCCAGGGAAGGGAGGATGGGACATGACTCGAGAGTTCAGACAAGAAAAATTTTGGTTTAGCAGGTATGTGGTATTGGAGTATGCATATAAAATAGAGGTTTCCAGTCATAAGATACATGGATACAAGACAGCACAATGTTCCCTGGGGGTTCAAGACAGAAGCTGGTGAGAGGTGAAAACTTGAGAAACAAATCACCAGTAAAAACCAGTTGCTTTTGAGCTGCTTTCAACTTATGGCAACTCCATGTGTGACAGAGCAGAACTAACTCCGGGGAGTTGTCAGTGGCTGACTTTTCAGAAGCAGATTTCCAGGCCTTTCTTCCAAAGTGCCTCTGGTTAGACTTGACGACTGTCAACTGCCATCGCAGCCAAGAGCAATAACCTTTTCTACCACCAAAGGGCTATGACCTTATAATCTTGTCACAGAATTGCTACTGATGTGAAGAAGTACTCCCAGAATCACAGAAATACCCAAAGAAAGTAAGCCCAGGAGGACACTGGCAGTACTCCGAGGAAAAGCATCCTCTTGGTCCTTACATGCGCCCTGGTTCTCCCTGAGGGTTGGGGAGACTGCACACAGTAAACTCTATGATGATAACCCAGGGCTGGGTTGCCTTCTGCCTGTGGTTATGACCATCTCCTCTTAACCAATCACACACAAAGCTGAAAGTGAGGCAGTGACTGGTACCATGCAGAAAGGCTAAAGCAAAATGTCACGTTTAGTGATGAGACAGTCTTGGGCAATGGCCTTATGGGAAATTCTCCAGCAAGGGTAGCTGTGTCCTGCCCTCTAGCTCCTCTGGGCAGGCTTCAGAGATTCTCAGATGCTGTACTTACACCAATGGGCCACCTCTTTAGCTCTTTGGAATAAGTAGAAAGAGCATGAGCAGGAGACATCGTTTGAAAGTACAATGTTGTAGCCACCACCTTCCTCTGTCCCTGTTTCAAATGCAACAGAAATAGCTCAGTTTGAAAAGGTCACAGTGAAGGATCATAAAGGAGTCAATGCCAGGAAAATGCCAAAGATCTTGAAATGGATACCCTTTCCAACCGTTCAATAAGAGTTTAACTACGCAAGGCTAAGCATTTAAGGCCAACGAGGTGGCTAAGAAGGCAGGGGTGTGAAACTGAGAGGAGGTCAAACCTGTAGCTTAGAAGAAATCTGACTGCAGGCCAACCACAAACCGCCATGTACCTTTCCATCCTGACAACGGTACCTGCCACCCGTGTCTGAGACATCGCCCCTTCTATAGGAGGCCCCAGGCAAGTCCATTAGTCACTTAGCTGGGGGGGAGACTAGAAATTCTCAACCTCAAAGTACTTGTTTTCTATTTTCATCTGTAACAACTAACAGAATATTCAAAGAGATTATCATTAATAACCAAAGTTTTCCAAATCTGGTAACAATGCCTTAAAGCCTAGCAGAAATATGAGTAGCTAATGAAAACCCACCACTTTTATTAATGGAATTACTGAGACTGTTGTCAAAGTGAAAAGATCAAGGTAATTATTGTCAAAAAGCAACAGAAGTGGTAAAGCGTCTGCTTTTAAGGGTCAAATTGTGAACAATCTGAAGACTTAGTTGTCTTGCATAAGATTGTTATTGTTAACTGCTGTCAAGCTGATTCAAACTCATAATGACCCTGTATAGAGTTTCCAAAGAGCAGCTGGTGGGCTTGAACCGTGGACCTTGTGGTTAACTGAAGTTCTTATCCTTCAGTGCCACACTAGGGCTCCTGCAGGAGGTTATCTTTAGGCCACTATATCACAACAGATTCTAGTAGTCCATTAAGAACCATCTGCATTTGAATGACTATATGGAATCACTCAGGGGACAATACAAAGGAAGTGCCTATAGATGACTCAACTGGCATATGGAACATTGGCCATTCCTGGAGTCACTTCCAAGCCAGAGTTAGTGAGCTTCCAGAACTAGAGTTGCAACACTTTCACTTTTCATTTTCTCATTTGGCCAATGTGCACCCTCCTCTCCTTATAGAAGGAGCAGGATGAAGTCAAAGGGAGACATGGATTCCCTGCTACACTAAGTGTCTAAACCTGTCATTTTACAGAAACTGAAGTTCAAGGTCCCAGAGCTAGTCCTCAGCAAAGCCAGGATCAGAGCCGGGGCTGCCTCCAGGAACAGTAACGATGAGGAACTCATGCCTCATTGTCTTACAGTAGAGGCGCTGTGCCAAAGCGGAACAAATGTGGTACTGAAAGAATCTCTCTTATCGTGACCTGCTGCTGTGATCCTTCTAAGGGGATGCACCCATTTACTAAAAGCTTGCCCCAAGTGGCTTCACATTCTGGTGCTCTCTGATACTAAGCTTTTCTTTCAATATATCATTCAGTATTTCTCAGAAGACTAAGGAGTCACTCCCTGAGCTGGTTACAATTTAATTATTATAGATAGTTGAGGTTCCGTCCAAGCCTGTAAAATAGAACTGGTCTCAATAGACATTCTAGATCTCAGTCACTCAAGAAAGAAACAGCCCACGAGATTTTGGCCTTTCTTCTCTCCCCAACTTCCCTATAAAAGCACCCCAACAGCTGATGGAAGTTTAGCTCATCTTTTTAGAACTCCCTTCTGAAATATCAATCACAATACATTTGAGAAGAGCTACCACCAACATTGAAATGCATTGGCAGCACAGGTCTGTAAACCAGTCGCATAGGTACGGATATGAAAGAAGTATTTATAAATGTGCCTGAGAATGGTTACAGCCCAAATCACCAGCAAGTGTCCTTTTCGGTCACATTAAAAAAGACAACGGCTCTGTCTTCACTTTCCAAGGAATGTGGGCCTTGGTTGAGGAAACCCTGTTCAAAGGAAGCTGCCTGGTTTGGGTAGGATAAAGGCAAGATGTGGATTTACATATAAGCTCTTTCATATTCCAGCAGGGTCCAACACAGAACTCAAATTTGAAATCTTTAAAAACGACTGTTGTGGTGGGTGCTTCAGTGTGCTTTAAAAACATAGAACTATCAAACAGGCTGGTGGATGAAGGAAGTCTCGGTCTTCTTGTTTTTGAGTGATTCCATTTCACATATCCTGGAAAAAGAAAAGCTGCAGCCTTGAAAACTGCATCACAGAGGTCACTGGCCAGCTCCTGCGAGGTGGGTCAGTTGGCGTACTGGGTGTAGAAAGCCACTTTTACTCTCTCTATCTGATGGCACAGCTTGATGGCAGGCCCCAACTTCAGCTCCATGCACTCCTGCACGGTAGGAAGAGTCAGCAGGAGCAGTGCCTGGCCATCAATGTCCTGCCGGAAAGGAAAACCAGGTTAGAGAAGAGGACATGGACTCCAAGAGAAAAGGAATTTTCGTGTTATGCTCGATGAACCAGCTCACTGCCACTGAATCAATTTCAACTCGTAATGACTCCATAGGACCGGGTAGACCTGCTGCTTAGGGTTTTTAAGACTGCAGATCTTCAAGGGGGTAGACAGCCTCATCTTTCTCCTGCCCACTGGCTGGTGCGCTCAGACTGCTGCCTAAGTTTGTTAACAACCCAAATGATTAACTCACTGTACTGTGCATCTTGGTGCGAGAGCCACCCCCAGCCCAGGTGTTCCGGAGCTTGTTGACTGCTATGACTTAATGTGAACATTAGAAAAGGTCGTTTTACTAAAAGAAAACGTTGCCTCACTTCCCTGCCAAAATGTGACATTTCACCATCAGGATGGGTGAGAAGATGCTGAAGACATGATGCACCAACTTCACAACGCAGCTTTCCATAGAGCAAAAACACATGCCTTTAGACAAACACAGACATATACACGCATACCCACGTTTATATATATATATATAAACCGTGGACCTTGTGGTTAGCTGTCCAGTTCTTATCCTTCAGTGCCACACTAGGGCTCCTGCAGGAGGTTATCTTTAGGCCACTATATCACAACAGATTCTAGCAGTCCATTGAGAACCATCTGCATTTGAATGACTATATGGAATCACTCAGTTTATATATACCCACGTTTATATATATATATATATATATATATAAACGTGGGTATGCGTGTATATGTCTGTGTTTGTCTAACCTAGAAGACCAGGTGTTATTTGTACACAAGTCAGCTTCCCCTGTTTCGCCTTACTTGGTCCTTCTGTATCTACATACAGCATCCACAGAAAGAAGCCAGTCACGAAATAACTGTCAAAATTAACTTGCTGCAAGAAGAAGCACACAGAGGCTCACCCCAAAGGTTAAGATCATTTCATTGGACAGCTTTGTCTCTTCCCACCTTGCTTCCTATAATAATCTGGTCTTTCTATGGATATGCCAAAATGTAGTTTGACTGCATTACTGGTTTTAACTGCATATTCCAGAAGAAATAATTGGGGCTCAGAGAACGCAGCCCTAAGGTTATAAATAAAGATCATTGGGAGAACTACAGCACAGATTAAACTTTTTGTTGTTTGCCTCTTAGTAGGCTCAGACCTATACCAAGCCCATGGGTTAGAGGAGAGCGACCCCATGGGGTTTCCTAGACTGAAACTGGTTTATAGGAGCAGACTGCCAGGTCTTTTCTCCCATGGCACTGCTGGTATGCTTCAACTGTCAACTTTTGGGTTTACCCTCAAGCATTTAATTATTGCATTACCAGGACTCCTTAAATTAAATTTACTATACCACAGTTTCTACCACTTGGAGAAGCAGCATTACAAGGGCACCACAACCAAAGACTTAATATCCAGGCAGTCTCACATCGATTACGTGTCTCAGATATTACTTATCGAAGCACTTCATGTTAGTATCGTATTTGCTTAAATTAATGCCTTACTTAGCTGTATTGAAAATATTTTAAAAGCATTTATTCACTCAATTAACATTAAGCATTTACTAACTACCAGGCCCTCTAATGGCTGCTATGTGCTCATGAGGAATCTGTACATGGCCCAAGAGGCAGTTGTTCAAACAGAACATGGGAACATTGATGGGTTAAAATTAAAAAAAGGTGT